TAATGAACACAACGGGGACATTATACAGGAGGGCCCTCAGTGCCCGCACCAATTCGGCATTCAGTGTTTACGTGTATTCAACATGGTGAACCTCAGCGAGAATCGTGCAGCACACTTCAAGTGCCCAGCATGCATGCAACCGTTTCCAGTCGACAGTATATACTTCGGTGATGACTACCTGAGTGACAACTCAAACGATTCAGCTGACGAAGAATACCAACCTAGTGCCAGTGTTTAAGCAGAGTCATCAGAATAGGCAATATGCACGGCAAGGCATTACTACATAAAGCATACGTTTTAGTTAATCTTGGGTTTTATGCGTCTTGACTAGCCTTGAAGCAGTTATTATCGTATATCTTCAACCTCACTTTTGAGGCTGATTGCACTTTTGAGACCGACAATACTTTATTGTAGTGTATTTACAATCGCACTATTGAGGACGACCGCACCATTGAGGACTGCACACAAAGGAGCGACTGCACAGCTGATGCCGACTGCACATTTGAGGTCGAGATCGCAATTCTGAGGACGATGTTTACGCTCGCTTACGTTTTCTAATCTCTGCAAGAATTTTGTAAGCTGTTAGGTCATCATGAGTGCAAAGTGCAAAGTCTGCCTCGAATTGGTCCTGGTCACCGGCGCGCTTTTCTTGACCATATTCAGCGATGATCTTCATTAGAGAAAGACGCGATCGATGTAACTTGCGTTCATGTGGGAGCATGTCAACGCCATCTCTGAACTGGTGGCATACCGCATTAGCATGCCAGTACTGGTTAACGTAGTCCCGCCACCCTTTAGCGTCGGGTAGCTCCGACACCAAGTTCGCAGAGTCGTTTGCAATATGAGCCGATTCAGGTTCCACGATGCCGCCGCCTTCGTCATTTTCCGTTCGTTGAGCCGAGCTCTGGCTCGAGCTAATAGATTTCATCATATCGCGAAGTGCCGCTAGAATTGCAGTTTTGATGTCTCCAACGATTGAAACCGAAAGGGAGGGAGCAGACTCGTTAGGCACATCAGCAGCCTCATCCGAAATAAAACTGTTGCTAGGTTGAGCGCAGCTGTAGTCGAAGTCGTGAAGGCTTGCCAGGGGCCCATTGGTAGGTATATTCGCATCAGGGGCCAATAAAATCCCCAAGTTGGTTTTCCTCGCGATCTAGAACGTCGTCTAGTAGATATCGTGTTACGGTCTCAGCCTTTTCACTTGGCGCCCATCCTGCCCACCACTTCACCAGCTTCAAAGACCAGCCGCTTTGTCCAGGAGCGAGCATAAATCTGTACTGAGCCCCGCCTCGCCTAAAGCAATGTGATGTAAACCAGATGTCATCCCCAAGGAGATTCTTGCTGATTCCAGCTGCATTGGCGACAATGTTGAGAATCTGAGTGAAGTTACTGTTCGACATCGGAGCGCCCCATTAAACGCCGACATTCCCAATGTCCCATTAGAACTGGTGCTAGCGAGAGAGCTCTTTGGACGTTTAGCACCGCCGCGGGGAGCCTTTGTCAGTGCTGGGAACGCGTAGTCACCACTGTCCCACTTGTGGTTTAACTGCGTACATGCATATTTAAACCATCTCTCCAGGTACGTCAAAGCCTCGGTAGCTTGTTCATCTTAGAGAGGTGATGCAAATAATATGTGCGACATGCCAGTGGATCATGATCCGTTTTTCGGTCGCGTATTGTGAACCATCCAAATTCGATCTCCTTGTCGTTCTTGCGCGACTTGCGCCGAAGTCCGAGCTGAATATCCCCATTCTTCATGAGCAGCACCTCGTTTATTCGACACATCCCGTAAAAGGCAAGCGAGCACACGGCGGAAAGCCACAAGCGCATCGTCTCATTAAAGTCCGAATCGGTTTCCACGAAAGTGATTACTCGCGTTAGCATCGCGAGCGACATAGATGACGCGCGCTTAGGAGTTCTTTCACGCTTTTTTGCTTTACTTGGGCCTGCGAGGATTTGCGTAATTGCTGCGGATTGGGCGGGGTTTCCGCGTGGCACAATCGATCCATCTGCTTGAGTTTCAATAACCCAACGATCGTGCGGGTGTCCACCTGAAAGCATTTCCGGCTTCGCGTATTACCAGCTAATCGCGGCGCGTAGCTTCTCAGCAGACCACTGACTCTTGTTTGCCGTCGCGAGCTGATTTATGTACGCTGCTAGTACGGCGGGGAGCTGAACAAATCGCTGTTTCATCGGGTCTGGGTATTCTTCTGCTATGCAAAAATCGGTGAACCGACGAAGGCTGCCGGTATAGTCGACCCGCGTGCGAGACTCGAGTCGTTGGTCGGCAAACTTGGCTGCAGCGATGGCCGCACCGTACAGGCGACTAGTTTCGGGCAGGTCCATTGCAGTCGCTTGCACTCCGCGAAGGGAAAATATGAAATGAAACTTGTTATTTCTATGCGTGGCCCGTGCCTGACAAAGTATCTTCCTCAATTGTGCAGTCGTCCTCAAATGTGTGGTCGCCCGCAAAAGTGCAGTCGCGCGGAAACGTGCAGTCTTTCGCAAAAATACGGTACAGTCATTCGTGAAAACGGTATATACATTTATGGATTATAGTGGTCGGTGACTTATGGGGCTTTCCCATGGCTACAATGTTTTGACCAATCAGAGTGCGTCGCACAGCCAATTTGGTCCCCTCGCACCAGTGGGAGAAGTAACTGTATTGCATGTTACTTTTGCAAACGCCTTGCAATTCAAACATTCAAGCGCTTAGCACCGGCAAGAAGAGAGGAGAGTGAGCGTTGCTCTGTGCGATCCATACAGCAACATGCCGGGTCTCCGCGGTGAGGAGTTCCCGGCGGAGGCACTCGCGGAAGGCGAAAAGATCGAGTACTACTCGAGGTGCTTTGTGACGGGCGACCCACGAGGCCTTAGAGTAGCAGTGATACTAAGTGTAGACGATACTCCTGGAAATGAGCTGCCAGTATCAATCGACACTGGAGAACCGCTGCCCCTCACAATCTTCATGCGTCGCAGACGCGACGTTCTGGGGTGCGAACTAAACATAGAGCACGTCAAATGGCGCAAATTACGGGCATACCAGCAAGAGGCCGGCAAGGTAGGCCGGCCGACGATGGCAAGCGCTCTGTGCAAGGCCAGGTCGAGCGCTGTGAGTGATGCAATTAATGCTACGATGGGTCAACTACGTGGTGAGGCCGAACACACCTCCGGTGCGACCTCAGTAGCTCAATGTGTCGACCAATCACCGTCGCCAAGGGTGTCTGACTGTGTCGACGCTCCCAGAGTTGTGGAAACAGACGCAAAACGCAAAAAAAAAGACGAAAGTGAATCAAATACGTGTATCCAACGTGCTACGTGTTAGGGAAATCCTACTGGAGACAGCAAAGCCGGCGAATCGTCTGTGATCGATCTTACGTCTGAGCTTTGTCATGGAGAGGTGAACGACCAGGCTATCCGCGCAAGTACACTTGATGACTTGTTTCAGTGATTTCGCGCGCACAAAGCAACACAAAAAGACACAATGGCACACTGTGAGTCACAAAGAACCACAAATAATCACAGAGTTGTCACTTGCATGGCCGAATACGTCATGAATCATAAAGCTAAACGGCTTATACCGAGCGTCATTGATGTTGTGGGTGGCATCCACCATCATCACTTCTGGAAAAGCCTCAAAGAAGCGGCGCATCTGATGAGTCTGGAACGTGATCGTCTAAGCCAGTTTATCTTCGTCGACATAGACCGTAGCTGTGTTTCCCTTCTGAGAAAAAAAATTACGGAAACAGCAATACAGTCTAAATTTCACAGTTGTAGCCCCCCGCCACGCTTCCTTGATATTGGCAACCATGTTGTGTACGTCCCTTAGGGTGACTCGCTTGCCTTTAATAAAAGCGGTGTAGTAGCGGTATAGATCTCATAATAAATAGCAGGCGTACCTGTTTTCCGCCTCAAGTACTCCATGCTCATCTTTTTCTTCGCTCCAGCCGCCTGCAACTCCTCAACGAAGACGAGGACGTCAGCATCTTCAGCTCGACGCTTGGCAGGGTGATTGGCGTAGGTGAGTTGACCGAGGGGGTGATTGTGGACAGTGGATTGCTGAGTTACTTTCACCTAAAAGCCTAAATCCGCAACCCAGACCCCTGTAAGAGACAACTGCGCCTGACATTGTGTCGACTTCATAAAATAGCTCTCTTATTATCCTTTAGATCGGCTTGGCCGTGACCATCCATGCGTGCATATCATCCGCTAGTAATACTTTTCGAAAGAGACTGGAATAAGTGTTGTAGATGTAGCCTTTTCCACGGCGCATGAGGTCCGTGTTTCTTGCCTCGATACTCGGAGACGTCCTCTTGCGGAAGACTTGGTACGTTTCATCTTGATACTTGTCCAGATACTCAAAAAAATTGTCCCAGCCCGCGAAATGACGCTTCTCCATAGACCGCGCAACGAGCTTCCTGTCACCAGACGAGGAAATATGGACCTCGGGTGATTGTGCCTCAGTTGCGGAGACGGTGTCAACCGCTACAGAAGCAGGGGGCTGCCTCTGCGTGGCCTCATCAGCGGCGTCGGAATCCGAGGCAGACGCGGAGCTGTTCATTTCTCCGATGACGGCGAGCTTCTGCAGCGTTTTCAAATCTTTCAAAATGAAAGGCTGAAAGGCGCGAAAAAAGGGGAGGGGTGAAAGGGGAGAGGGGGTGAGTTTTGGAAACCGCAGCTCAAATGTAGAGATTTTATATACATGTATCTTCGCAGCCGTTTTTTATCGTGAATTACCAAAACTCATATCCGTCACAGACATATTTCGGGCGAGGACATATTTCGGGCAAGGGGTCCTCACATACAAAGTCTAGTCAATAAGGAGAAAGGAGGCTCAATTTCAATCCTCTCTTTTATTAAAAACTGCTCACCTTGTATAGCACGCGTACCGTTGGCTAAAAAGGCGCGAAAATCTTTTTTCGAACGAGCCATCGCGCGCGCTTCTTCGATCTCACTAGCCAACACACCGACCAAGAGAAAACTTCCTCAAAACCCTCATCATGAAGAAGCCTGTGAAGAAGCAGAAGAAGAAGGTCAAGCGACAAACAGTCTCAATCCACACCTGGACAGCAGCGCTTGCAGCGGTAAACGACGGAATGTCACTGAGCTTAGCGGCAAAGACATACGGTGTATCGCGCGAACCACTTCGCCAGCGCCATCTAGGCCTAGTGCCAATTGTGGCGCGTCCTGGACCTCAACTTGTTTACATTTCGGAGGGTGGTGACAGAGGGCTGGTAGAAGTTATCGTTTATCGAGCGCTTCATGGTATGTGCGTTAGTTTTGACGAGCTGCGGTGCATGCTGCGCCGGGCAGCGGAGGAGACTGGTACCCGTCCATTGACTGATGAACTCCCCAATGACAAGTACATAACGCGATGGATCCAAAATCACCGGGAGATATCCGTCCGTCGCTCTCAGCTGTTGGACGTGAAACGAGCTGAAAGCTCCTCTCCTAACGTTTTGATGAGGTACTTCAACAATTTGAAAGCCGTGTTAACAAAGTTTGATCTCCTGGACAGGCCGGAGTGCATCTGGAACTGTGATGAAACTGGAATCTGCCCTCAGGGACTTGGCAATGAACGCGTAATCTGCCCAAAAGGGCTTCGGGCCAACGTCCAGGCCTCTAGTGACCGCGAAAATACCTGTATAATGGCCTGCATTAGTGCATCCGGAGCTCGAATGTCACCCATGTATATTTTTTAAGGCACGTACCGCAAGCTAAACTGGATGGAAGGATCGGAGCCAGGAGCGGTGTGTGCAATGAGCCACAGCTCGAATATAAATGGTAAGCTGTTTTTGAATTGGCTCAAGTGGGTTGTCGAGCAATTGCCGCCTGCGCGGCCGCAACTGTTGATATTAGATGGTCATCGCACATTCAATTTGAAGCTGTGAAGTATGGCCAAGAACATGACGTGCATATTATTGTGCTGCCTGCACATACCTCGAACTTCCTCCAACCTCTAGACGTGTCTGTGTTTGGCTCGTTCAAGCGTCGATACCAGTCAGCTTTAAAGCGATTCCCATCAACACACAACTACATGCTGCCAACCAAAGACAAAATTGCTGAAATTTCCCGCGATCCGTTGATGTTGGCGTGCCGACCTGAAAATGCAAAACGAGGGTTTGAGAAGGCAGGTATATATCCATTGTCGATGGATAAAATGATGAAAGGGATTGTCGGTAACGCACCTGTGGTGACCCGTGATTCGATGCCACATCTATCAATAATTCTAGGCCAGATTACCCCTCCTTCAGGACGGTTAACCGTCACTGAGCGCCAAAAGCGAGTCCTCCGCGAAATGGATTTGGATGTGGAAGGACTTAACTTGGTCAATCTTCTGCGTACTTCAGCCACAGCTCTAATACCGCCGAAGCGAAAACATGGGAAGTGGGTAGACGAAAACTATTCTGGCGGCGACTTGTTGAGCTATGAGGAGATGAAAGCTGCTGTTCAAGCTAAAGAGGACGCCAAAGCGCTGAAAGAGGCCAACAAAAAGTCTACTGCACTCGAAAAGAGAGAGCAAGCGGCAATGAACCTGCACGACAAAAAACAATATCAGACCGCAAGAACACAGCTGGTACTGCAACGGGAGGAAAAACGCCACGCGAAGGCGCAATAAGCTGCTCACCGAACTAACAAGAAGGATCCAGGTGCGTCGAAACTGCGCAAGATGCCGCCTCCCGCAAGCCAGCCTTCTGCTAAACGTGCGAAAACGCCTCCAAGTGGGGAAGCTTCTTTCCCAATGTGTGATCGTACTTATTCAGGAGGTCACGGTGCTCCATAGTTAAGTCGTGCTGCCTGAAATGTGTCAGAAGCCCTATCGAATGCATACAAACTTCAATATACTTGAATTCCTGCCCGAAATATGTCTGTGACGGATAGTGTGACTTTGTCCACTTCCATAAAAACAGACTTCGAAGTAGTCATTGCCAGCAAAATAGTCAATTCTGACCCTTTATTTTTTCCAGCCTCTGTGAACTCAAATTGGGATAGACACAGTAGAATGGCCTTCTTGGAGGACGAGGACGACATGCGCGCCTTTGAAGCCACGCTTAACTTTTTCTCGGTCGATTCCACTTGCGCTGTTTGGACTGCTGCGTCTTCGGAGCTGCTGATGTTCCTATCTGGAAACGAGTTCCAGCTGGGCTCGCAAGCTGCTCCGCCATTGCCAGCGGCACGGTCATTGACGTCTCGGTGGTAGAGGCGTCAGCGTCGTCTAGGAGTTCCGATGGGAGTGCATCTGACAGTCGGAATGCCAAAGAGCTGGAGGCGTCGGAGCTGTCGACGAGCGCAGGGAGGGTTGGCGGATTTAACGATTCGTTGGAGTATTCCTCCACAACCACAAGCGAATCCGAATCGAGTTCGGAATGAGCTCCGATTTGAGTTGGCTTATCTCCGTGAGAAGGCTTCGCAGTTGGAGCATGAGCTGAACACATTGCAGCTCAATACAAAGGTCAATAGGATATGCGACGGAGAGGCAAAGCAGGATGACATGACGCAACTCTCTACAGATAGCTCGCCACAGTTGCTTGGGGCTTGGAAAGGGATCGCTGGACGACAAAGACAGAGGAGAGAAGGCGCTGAGCGTGAGAATGCGAGATTGAGAATCATTGTAGAGCGACAGCGGAAGGTGGCGATCGATTTGAGCGAGTTGTTGCGGAAACGAGTACGTCGTTGGATCAAATTTGAGGTGTTTGGAGCTTTACTCATCCACCCGCTTGTGTATGTCTGTGCTGTATGCTGCAGACAGCGGAATGCGCGCATGCCAGTGACCCTTACATTTCTGAGCGTCGCTTGAGCCGCGTGATTGATTTCCACGGAGACATTGGAGAGTTCCAAGAGTTGTTCCAGGATCTGGAAGACGCTTACCACGAAGCAGATGAAGTGCTTCAAGCCAATGGACTAGCCACGATGGCTATTCCTACGCATGATGTGCACATCCGTGAAGGCGTCGGTGGCAAGTATATCGAATTCTTCGCCAACAAGGCTTTGCCTTTTCCTCTCCAACAAACCTCGGAAGCCGCTTGGGACGATTTCAAAGGAGTGGATAAACACTGGGGCAATGGCGGACTGTACGAGAAGGCCACTAAGGTACTCGCACTTGGGCAAGTAGCTGGAAACTGAGAATTATCTAACGTGTGCTGCGCCTACTCTCAGAATCTCGACCAGCCCTACACAGTCCTGGAGGACTTTACGAAGTCGAACAACTCGAAGGCGGACATGCAGCTCAAGCAGATCGTACGACGCTACGTCGAACCAGACCGCGACATCATCGTGTTTGTTTCCAAAGTGTCGCCTATTGAGATTAAGAATAAGGCGATCGCAGGACTCACTTACCACCTTCGAGGCTACGTCGTCACCAAGAAGTCTCGAGTTGGCCACGACCTCTCGTTGTTGCAGTTTTGTTCTCGCATCTCCATCGATAAGAAGCCTGGCGTGAGTTACGATCCTAACCACATTCGCGCACTCACGAGGTTCCTGATCGGCAATACTGTAGGCAACATCCGATGCTACCACGAGCGAATCGAGAACGCTCTCGTCGATCAAGCTTTGACGAAGCAGCTCATAGTGAGCTTCTAACAAATTATAGAATTAGACCATACGTAAAAAACCCAAAATTTGGTCCTTTCACGCTCTTCGTCTACACCGCAATTGCTCCTTTTTTTTGATGCTGAGAACCCCCAACCACAATTCAGTGCTTATGTATTATAGCCAACAAAAACGACTGGAATGGAGCTTGTCGGGGGCGAAGATGACATGCGCGCGTTCGAGGCGACGCTGAGCTTCGTGGAGGAATATGCGAGCGACGCCTTCACGTCGATGGAGCTCCCCAATCTCTCAGTCACGTCGGATGTCTCGAGTTCGTTTTCGTTTCGACTGGAAAATCAGATTCCGCCGGCAGACGTCGTGCCGTCGTCCTCGAGCTCCCCTACGTCGTCTATCGGTACCATTGACACTTCGACCATGACGCTGACTAACTCGACGGATCAGCTCTCAATGGGCGTCTCGAACGAGGCTCTGGTCCCCACGCAAACCTCGAAACCCCGGAAATCGACTAGAAAAAGAAAATCCCAAGCCAACCCGAACCGGGCGCGCAACGAGCTCCGCTTCGAGCTTGCATTCCTTCGTGAGAAGGTGACGCAGTTGCAGCAGGAATTGCAGTCGCTGCAACCGACTCAGGAAAATTTGATTTGTGACGGAGATTCGACGACGCTTGCTACCAGACCAAATGGAGTTCGTGCTCGTCCGTCATCGCAAGTACTCTGTGCGTGGAAGGGAGTGGCAGACCGACAATTGCGGCGACGTGAAGACTCCGAGCGCGAAAATGCGCGCCTGAGACTCAACGTGGAGCACCAACGGAAGGTGGCCATCGATTTGACCAAACTGCTGCGCAAGCGAGTACGCTCTCAAAACCGGTCGGTCCTTTAAATGATGCTTGTTCTAAATGTGTTTTGTGTTATCTATTACGAAATTGTAGATGGCCGAGTGTGCGGAAGCTCAAGACCCGAGTGTCAAGGAGAATAGATTTACTCGAGTACTCGACTACCACGGCGACTTGGCCGAGTTCCAAGAGCTGTTCCCAATTCTGGAAGAAACCTACCACGGTTTAGATACCGTACTGGAGGAAACTGGCCTCGCGACCATGGATATCCCGACTGAAGATGTAAACATACGTGAAGGCGTTGGCGGCAAATACGTCGAGTTCTTTGCGAACAAAGTCCTTCCTTTCGGGCTCAGTGACACAACGGAGGCCGCATGGGACCACTTTAAAGGGATTGACAAGCATTGTGGCAATGGCGAGTTGTACGAAAAGGCAGCGATGGTACGTTTGAGTGACCCGAATGATTTGGGAGCTTTCCAGCTGCTCACTATTGCCTGTTGATGCTGCTGTAGAATCTTGACCAGCCTTTCACAATTATCGAAGACTTTACAAAAGAAGTTTATTCCAACAATTCTCGCGCAGACATGGAGATGAAGCAGATTGTGCGGCGCTACGTGGAACCGGATCGGGATGTTATCATTTTCGTTTGCCGAGGACAACCCATTGAGATTAAACACAAGGCGATCGCTGGATTGACGTACCATCTTCGTAGCTACGTTGTCGCCAAGCGAGCTCCAGCTTCGACTGCAGATCATGATTTGTCGCTGCTGCAGTTTTGCTCAAGGATTTCTATTGACAAAGAGCCCGGCGTGGTGTACGACCCGGTTCATGTTCGGGCATTGACCAGGTTTTTGATTGGAAATACTGCAGGCAATCTTCGATGCTACCAGGAGCGAATCGAAAACGCGTTGGTAGATCAGGCTTTGAAGCGTCAACTGCAGTGACTTCGAGGTCCACACTGTAGCTGACTTTTTGCCGTGGTTGAACACAGATCTATACATAATTTCATCAAAAACCACGAAGCATTGGTGAAAGAAATGCCAAATGCATTAAATGAATTTTTTTCAATAACACATTTCTTGTGTAATTATGTAATCTTCACGAGGCTCTAAGCTCAAGATAATTTTTTTTATCTTTAGCTTAGAGCTATTTTATCTAAAAAAAATTATCTTTAGCTTAGAGCTATTTTATTTTTAGCTTAGAGCCTCGTGAAGAATACATAATTACACAAGAAATGTGTTATTGAAAAAACGGAGCTGTTGCTGGCCAGGATTATAATCATGGTAATGTGCAGGATTGAATCCTGTATGCATCCAGGATTATGTAATTTAAAATTACTTTCCAACCCTTCAAAGTCCAACTTTTCTTATTTCCGGTCGAGGGAGGAATGGGTTTTCATTTTGGTTTCGCGGTCGAGAATGAAACGTGTCTCATGCGGCGGAGGCGACAGCGCCGGAAGCGACCGCGCCAGCAGCAGCAGCGGTGGGACGAGCGCAGGAGGATCAACGCGTGTGTCGGGTGCGTCTGGTGGTATGCGAGTGTCTTCGCTCCCGCGTCGTGGCCCGGGACTGTCAGCAATGGAGACGGAAATAACTGGTGGTGAAGAATTAGATATTTCGAGTAATTGTGGGAGCGGGACCGGCAGTGAAGACATGGAGGGAGGTGAAGAAACCGTGGCCGCCGGTAGTGATGCCTCTGCGGACGACACAGAGGCATCTGATAGAGCGAGCGTTGACGAAACGGTGCACGTGGAGGTGTCGCTGGGTTGGCATTCGGATTGGGCGGCGTGGCAGGCGTACTTCACGCAGTACTGCGACAGGACAATGCAGGTCTTATCTGTAAAGGAAACAATGTCACGAAACTGCACAAGGTAAGGAGATGGAGGACAAGATGGCTGTACCAAGCACTACTGAAGATCAAACAGGAGACGACGATGTTCCACCAACCCAAGTTGTGCTGAAGGTACACTCAATAGCTTAAACTTGATAAATACACGTAGCTTTGTGTTTCAAACGCATCCAGTGTTGGATTTCATTATCGTGTTTGACAGTCAGTAGAAAGGACTTTAGATTTGTCCAGTCCGCAGTTAAAACCAGGATTTTACCATGATGTTTCATTATAATCATGTATAAATCATGAATCAGGATTTTTACTATATTTTTTAGTATCTACGCGTATCTTTCCGTATTTTTCCAGGAAGGGTACTGAGTTAGCATAGTATTTTAGTGTCCAGGATTAATCCAGGATCAATTCCTGGATATTATCATGGTTATAATCCTGGACCGCAACAGCTGCCTTGAAAAAAAACCAACGGTGAAAAAAAATAGGCGACTGTTGGAGGAAACGTACATGATTGAGGACAGAATTAATCCTGTATGTGGAAACCCATCTTAAATGAGTAGCCATATGGGTAGTATTAGATCATACAGTACTGCACCCCGTTTTCGCGCCCTTGGACCTTAGATAAACTTCCGGATGTGATGGTCCTGAATCCAAATTAACTTTTGTTTGTAAGCTAAGATCTCATTTATTTTTAAATCCTATATGGCCCACCCCCGCGAAAACGGGGTGCAGTACTGTAGTAGAAAATCCTTTTTGCAAATGCGTAGCCATATGGGTAATATTAGATCATAGTAGAAAATCCTTTTTGCAATCACTTCACGACGCAACACCAATGTAAGTTTCCAAAGTTCAAAGGAACAATCACAGATTTCACACCTTCTTCTTCGGCTTGCGTCAGGACACAATCACGGACAGCATCGGTCAAATTAGTCCTCTCTGCATTTCGCGTTTTTGTCGTTTTTGGAACAGCGGATTGAAAACTGGCAAAGCGACACGTTGGGTAGTCTTGGCAGAGACGCAGACATAATGCTCGGATGGAGGCATCTGAGAGCCATGATGGTGGTGTGACGCGATAGAGCATACAATTCGGGAAGTCAGCGAAACCTGGAAGTCCTTGGATCTGTTGGTAGGAGTATGTGCTCTTTATCTTTTCTGCTATCTCCTTGGCCAGTGCGTGATTTGGCAGGTAGCACCGGGATTCCAATCTCCGCCATCCATTTGTACGTATCCAGGCCCGATTAAACGACCTCCTTCAAATCGCTGACACGCTTGAAAGTCTCGATCTGTTTTCTTGTGAACTGGCCCACATCTTTTTTGAGAGCCGTTTGACAGACTGCGAGGTAGCCTTATCCTCAAAGCTTTGCGACTGAGTAGGTTGCGATCCGTCCACCGATATAGCTGTGACCTTCGCGTTTGACAACGGAAAAACCTTCACACAAGCATCAAAAAGCTTGGACGGAAGCATGTAGAACGGATCCAGGACGAGTACAGGGTTTTTGCTAATCTTCATATTTGGCTTCTTGTTATCGGACTCACCGTGTCTTACAATATCCGGGCAGACGTTTCTGCGTTTCTAATCTTCCTGGCTTGTGCAGATCCAAAGCAGTCAATACATCGTTTAAAGCCCCCTCCCAGCGATTTTACGACCAGATTCTGCTGTTTCAAACCACTTTCGTCCTTCTTTCTCTCCAGCTACCATCTTCTTCTTCATTTTCCGTGGTGCGCCAACCCTCTTCGCCTTTGGATTCAAACGGATCGTTACTTAATTGGAGGCATGTCGGTCAGCTTCTTTTTTGCTCGAGCTGACGTCGAACGCAGGTTTAGCAGCAGATTCGTTTACAGTTTCATCGTCTCAGCGTTTGTCATCATCTCCTACATTCCCACTGACACAACGCTCTTTCATCTTTCGTTGACGGACAAATCTCCACTGTGATTACACAAGGCTCAACATCACATCAAATTCTCCTTCATCTTGATTATCCGCCATTTCACTTGCAATGAGATGAGTAGCTCGCACGGCTTCGCGGTACCGTTCAGACTGCGTCTGCAGCTTCTTCTGAGTTGATCCGGGCCCAGTAGTCGTGAAGTTCTCGTACGAGAACTATCTAACCTGCTTTAGAGGCCGATTTGGAGATGTCCATCTAACCGGTCAAATAAACGTGATTATAGGATTAATACATGGTTGTGTCCAGGATTATAATTGAGGAAAATCTGGAGACGTACCTTTCGTCTATGGATCTCCAAGGGATGAGCGATCCAGACACACCAACGTGCATTCTGTAGGCTATAGCATATCGGCAGGGAAGTCTCATGGATATAGAAAACTCACAATCACATTTCCAGTAAGATATCCGCAATCTATGCTCAGAAAACGTTCCACAGACTAAAACACCAAATGAGAAGACATATGTTTTGTAGCTCGTCTCTTAATGATCTGTAATGAACGCCCCAAACCAAATCCTAAAAAACGCGATATTCCTTTGGCCTGAGTCAGACCTATTTACCGAAGATGAATGTTTACGTATAATACCGTGTAATATAACCATTCAGCCACTAAGGCCAAGAAAAAAACCAAAGCCCTATCGGCTGCCGCTCGGCAAAGCGGACATTCAAATTTCTTCTTCCGCGCTTCAGCTGCCGTCCTCGAAGAAAATGTCTTCCCACAACACGACACCAGCACCGGTTTGTCGAACAGCTCGAGGGTTATCGGACCGGTTACAGTATATTCTCACTGCGCCAATCTGCTGCGAATACCAGCCTGCATCACCTCCGCTTGTTGTATAAGCTGCTGCTGCGGTAGATGCAGCGCATTGGCCAACGTTTAAGGCGAAAAAGCGTTTTCCGTGATCTTGGTAGTCTACCCCTCCATGTCTTCGTCTTCTTCTGTTTATTCAAGTTACCCTCGTCTTTGGCCTCGGCCTCGTCCATATTCACCCACTTTAGTCTGTGAAACCGACATCCTCGTATCTCGAGGCGAACTAAGCTTCACTTGATTATTTGATTCCCTAATCGCCTGCTCTGAAATACGCCCTCGCTCTTGTACGAACATTTCACCTTCAAATTCCATAGAGCCCCCACACTACTCTCGTCTACACCCCCGTAGTAGAAGTTCGTTCATCTCACTTGCTGTGATTGTCCTCTCTCTCCTCTCTCGCCTCATGCTCCTCTATAAATTGCCCCAGTCGAGTCACGATCTTGTTCGAGCTTTAAAAACATTGCAGCACCTTGAACTTCAGCTGACTGGGGACCAGGACGTCAAGAATGTGAGTGCCCGTTCACAGCAGGCTTGTGGACTCCATCTTTACACGAAAAACGGATCCGTCTCTGGATGCGTTTACCGTGTACTCAGCTTGAGGCACCGCCCTCTTGTCTGGCGATTTGTATATCGAAACCGCTATTTTACTATGTGATGCATACGCTGGTGCATCGTCATGATGGGGTTGTTAGTGTCCCAACACAGGGACAGCCCTAGCAACGTCTCAACAACTAACTATACGAGCATTGAAAATAAAACATATATCAAGTCAAATACACTGTGATGACAGCCCGCACGGATTCCGTTGGACAAACACACGATTCATGCATGCAGTCATACCAAATGGTGAAAACATATCTTTTGCAGCTAAGGCCAAGAAGTAAAAACAAAAGCCTTATCGGTTGCCGCTCGGCAAAGCGGACATTCAAATTTCTTCTTCCGCGCTTCAGCTGCCGTCCTCGAAGAAAATGTCTTCCCACAACAAGACACCAGCACCGGTTTGTCGAACAGCTCGAGGGTTATCGGACCGGTTAAAGTATATTCTCACTGCGCCAATCTGCTGCGAATACCAGCCTGCATCACCTCTGCTTGTTGTATAAGCTGCTGCTGCAGTAGATGCAGCGCATTGGCCAACGTTTAAGGCGAAAAAGCGTTTTCCGTGATCTTGGTAGTCTACCCCTCCATGTCTTCGTCTTCTTCTGTTTATTCAAGTTACCCTCGTCTTTGGCCTCGGCCTCGACCATATTCACCCACTTTAGTCTGTGAAACCGACATCCTCGTATCTCGAGGCGAACTAAGCTTCGCTTGATTATTTGATTCCCTAATCGCCTGCTCTGAAATACGCCCTCGCTCTTGTACGAACATTTCACCTTCAAATTCCATAGAGCCCCCACACTACTCTCGTCTACACCCCCGTAGTAGAAGTTCGTTCATCTCACTTGCTGTGATTGTCCTCTCTCTCCTCTCTCGCCTCATGCTCCTCTATAAATTGCCCCAGTCGAGTCACGATCTTGTTCGAGCTTTAAAAACATTGCAGCACCTTGAACTTCAGCTGACTGGGGACCAGGACGTCAAGAATGTGAGTGCCCGTTCACAGCAGGCTTGTGGACTCCATCTTTACACGAAAAACGGATCCGTCTCTGGATGCGTTTACCGTGTACTCAGCTTGAGGCACCGCCCTCTTGTCTGGCGATTTGTATATCGAAACCGCTATTTTACTATGTGATGCATACGCTGGTGCATCGTCATGATGGGGTTGTTAGTGTCCCAACACAGGGACAGCCCTAGCAACGTCCCAACAACTAACTATACGAGCATTGAAAATAAAACATATATCAAGTCAAATACACTGTGATGACAGCCCGCACGGATTCCGTTGGACAAACACACGATTCATGCATGCAGTCATACCAAATGGTGAGAACATATCTTTTGCAGCTAAGGCCAAGAAGTAAAAACAAAAGCCTTATCGGTTGCCGCTCGGCAAAGCGGACATTCAAATTTCTTCTTCCGCGCTTCAGCTGCCGTCCTCGAAGAAAATGTCTTCCCACAACAAGACACCAGCACCGGTTTGTCGAACAGCTCGAGGGTTATCGGACCGGTTAAAGTATATTCTCACTGCGCCAATCTGCTGCGAATACCAGCCTGCATCACCTCCGCTTGTTGTATAAGCTGCTGCTGCAGTAGATGCAGCGCATTGGCCAACGTTTAAGGCGAAAAAGCGTTTTCCGTGATCGTGGTAGTCTTCCCCTCCATGTCTTCGTCTTCTGTCGTATATTCAAGTTGTTCTCATCTTTGACCTCGGCCTCGACCATATTCACCCACTTTAGTCTGTGAAACCGACATCCTCGTATCTCGAGGCGAACTAAGCTTCGCCCGATTATTTGATTCCCTAATCGCCTGCTCTGGAATACGCCCTCGCTCTTGTACGAACATTTCACCTTCAAATTCCATAGAGCCCCCACACTACTCTCGTCTACACCCCCGTAGTAGAAGTTCGTTCATCTCACTTGCTGTGATTGTCCTCTCTCTCCTCTCTCGCCTTATGCTCCTCTATAAATTGCCCCAGTCGAGTCACGATCTTGTTCGAGCTTTAAAAACATTGCAGCACCTTGATCTTCAGCTGACTGGGGACCAGGACG